TTGAGGTCCAAGTGAGGAATCAATACTTTTTTAGAAAAACAAAAACAAAAAAACAGCTTCTAAGTTTCTGTTACAGTCTCTGTTCATGTCTGGCTTCACACCTGTCTGCAGGATGGCCCACAGCTGCTACAGGTAGGTAAAGATCTTAAGGATGGATCTTCTTAAATCTACCTTAGCTTTGGAAAGCAGAACTATAGGAAGAAAAACATAGCAATCCAGATCACTATGAGAGACTCTCATCAGCTAATTTCCTTTTTTGTAAAGGGCTGACAGAGGTAATATTTTCAAAGTTGCTGTGGTTATTAGCTGTGTTAAGCGTCTTATTGAACACTGGATGCTCCCACAAGAACACGGAACAGAGAGCAGCCCATGCTTTAGAGAAAACTAGGTGTGGAGTCCATCCTCAATCTGACCTTTGTTTTCTCTGAGATACAGTGGTGTGAGGATTAGCTGAGAGAACAGGAGTCAGGGCAGTCGTGCACACACGGTGATGAGGTCAGTCACTGTTTCCAAGCTCCCTGCCAGTGTTAATCCACTTTCAGCAATCTGAAAAGAAGGCTTACACTGAATAGTTTTAAGGCTTGTGAGGGTGTGTGTACATAATTCTGTATATGTGGTATGTATGTTAGAACGTGTGCGGCCGGGCGGTGGTGGCGCACGCCTTTAATCCCAGCACTTGGGAGGCAGAGGCAGGCGAATTTCTGAGTTCGAGGCCAGCCTGGTCTACAGAGTGAGTTCCAGGACAGCTCGGGCTATACAGAGAAACCCTGTCTTGAAAAACCAAAAAAAGAAAAAAAAAAAAAAAAAAAAAAAAAAAAAAGAACGTGTGCGCACATGCATGTGGAGGTAAAAGATTGATGTTCACTGTCTTCTTCGGTCACTCTCCACCTTAAAATTTGAGACAGGGTGTCTCCTGAACCTACACCTCTCTGACTGAGGTAGACTGGCTAGTCACTGAGCTCCAGGAATCCTCCTGTCTCAGAGCTGGGGTTACCAATGTACCTGCTCCCAGCTTTTTTTTTACATCTGGGGATCTGAACTCAGGTCCTCCTGCTTATGTGGCAAGCACTTTGCTCAGTGAGCCCTATCTCCAAGCAACGATATGTACATTTTCACAAAAGAGAACAAATTCACACAGATTTTCTCAGCATTACAACATGACTGTCATGACTAGGGTTTGGTGACAGTTTGCAACAGGGTTGAGCACAGACGGTGGAACTGAACTCATTCTGTACTCATTGCCTGAGCTAAGAATTTAAAACTTGTCAGCTATCCACACTCAGTGAATGGCAGGAGTTTTGTCACGTGTCTATGCTTACTCTGTTCACTCCCCCCTCCCCTCCCTCTTTCAGTGCTGGAGATTGAACCCATGGCACCTGAGGTGTCTGACAAATCCTTTATCTCTAAACTGCACCCCTCCTCACCTACATCCATTTTTTTTTAGTAGGACTAGAAAATAGGAAATATCCCCATTTTAAAGTTGAAGAAATGGGTGTGTGGGGGGCAAGTCCTTGTTCATCCAAATATAGTTCGTGTTCCACCCAGTGCTGGCTAGGTGAGTGTCTGAAGGTCCATGGTTAAAGGCTGGGTTCCCCAGACTGGCATTATTCAGATGTGGCAGAAGCTTTAAAAGATACAGTCTGTGGAATGTCTTTGGGCCAAAGTCCCTTGAAAGAGATTCTGGACCCTTTGCTCTTTGTTCTTTCCCAGCCATGGGGTGAACTGGCTGCCACTATCACATGCTCCTGTAATAAAGTGCTGTCTTGCCACAGGTCCAAAAGCCATGGAGCCAACTAGCCATGAACTGAAATCTTCAAAACTGTAAGGCAAAGTATACCCTTTGTTAGCATTCTGTCTAAACTCTACCCCCACAGTCACCTGGCAACAGCCAGGTAGGCCTGCCCACTATAAAAGGGGCTGCTTGCCCCTCCTCTCTTCTCTTGCCCTCTTGCTCTCTCTTGCACTCTTGGTCTCTCTTGATCTCTCTGTCCTCTTGTTCCTTCCCCCTTCCCAGCTTCTATGGACAGCTTCTCTCTCTCTCTCTCTCTCTCTCTCTCTCTCTCTCTCTCTCTCTCTCTCTCTCTCGCTCTCTCTCTCTCCCTCTCTCTCTCTGTCTCTCTCTGCCTCTACTGCCGTCTTAACTCCCCTCCCCATGTCCTGAATAAACTCTATTCTATACTATACCATCGTGTGGCTGGTCCCTCAGGGGGAAGAGATGCCTGGCATGGGTCTGCTGAGACATCCCCTTCCCCCATACCTCACCACACCCCACAGAACATATTCTATATCTCTTTATCTTTTTTATAAACACATCACCCTTCCTCTTTCTAAGTTGATTAGATTTTTTTTTAATTTAATGTATATCTAAATGTATACCTGCATACCAGAAGGGGGCATCACATTTCATTATGGATGGTTGTGAGCCACCATGTGGTTGCTGGGAATTGAACTCAGGACCTCTGGAAGGGCAGCTAGTGCTCTTAACCGCTGAGCCATCTCTCCAGCCCCTAAGTTGATTATCTAAGGTACTTTGTTATAGTAATGTAAGCTGACACCTCACTGTTAGAGCTGGAGTCTTCTGAACTTGGCTTGTTCCGCTTAGGCAGCAGGGAAGGCAATCCATTTACTAAGGATATCCTTTCCACTGATATCATAGGGCTTTGTCCACAGCCTATTATTTTTACAAAAGCTATTAAGGTGATTCCTGTATATGATGGTGCTATTTAATGATATTTTTACTTTAATGAAAATAGACATCTTTTATTTATTTATACATTTATACATTTTAGATAGGGTCTCACTATGTAGATCAGACTAGCCTCAAATTGTGTCAAAGGGATTGTAAAAATAGCTGTAATTGTAAATAGGTTTCATCCAGATGTTCGCACATGTACCTATACTTTACTTCAGTTTTATCCCCCTCCTGCCTTCTCTCTCATTCTCTCACTCTACTCCCTTATTCAGGGTGGCTTCCCCCACCCCTCATGGTACAACATCTACTTGAATGCACTTCCACTTATGCTTGAAGTTTACTGGGACATACCCCACTGTAAATCATGTGGACACATCCCTGTTATAGATTTGAATACATAAGCAACCGTGGTCCTTACCAATGGAATTTACACTGTGACTATGTTGCAGGACACAGAAGCACATGCATCTCATAACATGTATTCAGTAGAGAATCTCTTGTGAAATGGATTTGTATATTTTATTTTTTTCCTGAAATCAGATCCTATACTGTAGGTCTGGCTATCCTAGAACTAACAGTATAGCCCAGATTGGCCCCAATCCCCTGCTTCTGTCTTCCTAAGTGCTGGGCTTACAGGCATGTCACTATATCCAGATTTATATATTTAAATTGTTTACAGAGCTCACCAAACTGACCTTCAAAAACTTAGTGATCTCTTCACAGAGAAAAATATCTGTTTCTATCTCTACCAGGACTGGTCACTTTACTTGCCAGCAGGATCAGCTAACATTTTGTTTTTAATGCCTGTTTTTCTGTTTGTAATATAGTACATATTTCCATTTTCCTATGACTTTGAGCCTATTAGTTCTTTTTTATTAATAATAATCTCATTTTATACTCCAGGCCAGAGTGGAACTTACTACATTGTTCAGGCTGGCCTCAGACTTATGGGTGATCCTCCTGCCTCAACCCCCCAAATGCTGGGATTGTCCGTAGATAAGGGCCTCCATACCCAGCCAATGTTCACTTTCTAGTTTCTTTTCTTACTGATTTTGATGTGTTTTTAATTTGCTCCAGATGGCAATTCTTCCTATGTTACAAATAAGTAATGTGTATTTCATTTTTAAAAGTTCCACTCAACTGACTCCCTTTTCACCTTCAGAATTTTTTATTTACTTATTTATTTTTGAAGATAGGATATCACTATATAGCTATTGATGTCCTGGAACTCATATGTAGTCCAGGCTGACCTCAAACTAACCGAGATCTGTGTGCTCTGTCTCCAGAGTCCTGGGATTGCAGGCATAGCCACCACACAATGCCCGTCTTTGGGATGCTTCTGCTGTACACAATTTGACTCACAGCTCTAAGCTGGAATGGGCCAGCAGAGACGCAGCTCTATCTAGTCACGTGGTCTTCAGCTTGACTTTACTGTTCCTTAAACTTCTCATGCCTTCTCTGTGTTCTTTTCCTCTTCCCTAAAATTTCAGCATACAAGATTCAAAGTAGATTTTAGGGTCTACCAAACTTCAGACCTGGGCTGCTAACATACAGATACCTGAAAACTTTGTTAATAATGATAAAAAAGCAGTCCAACGTTCTATAGTAGGTCACCTTCCAACCCTCTTCCCATTCCCAAATGACTTCCAAGAACATACAGAGATAAGTTGGTAGCTTCACTGAAAAAAAAAAAAATGAGAAGCAGACCAGATGTGGTGGCATGTGCCTCTAATCCCAGCACTCAGGAGGCAGAGGCAGGCACATCTCTGTGAGTTCAATGCCAGCTTGGTCTACAAAGTAAGTACCAGGACAGCCAGAGCTACACAAATAAACCCTGTCTCAATAAAAAGGAGGACAGTAGGAAGCAACTGTTGCTGTTACAAGCAGGACACAACACCCCCAGAGAAGGCATTATCAGCACTGCCTAACCATTGACAAGTAGGAACATAAGCTCTATGTTGACAGTGGCTCTATTTTCCAAAGGTCAAGGTCTGTATTTTAATGTTAAACACACTTCCAAAATGTCAGGCAAGCTTCAGGTAGGTTAGACAAGGGGCAGACTATGAAAAGAAAATGTTTCCCTGACAGGTGTGGTGGCGCATGCCTGTAATCTCAGTACTTGGGGGTAGAGGCAGGAGGATCATGAGTTTAAGGTCACCCTTGGCTATACAGTAAGTCTAAGGTCAGTCTGGGCTACACAGATTCTGTCTTTAAAAAGCAAAAAAAGAGTGTTTTCCTACTAGCTCCTCCCACCCCAATACACTGGAGAAGTGAGGAAAGATAAGGCGCTTATGTCACTGCTAGAAACTGAGTTTGCTCCTTTGGTGTTGTTTTATTTCTGCCTCTCACACTAGTCTCTCAGCAACAGGGAAGTCACATTCCTCTTCAAATTGCACATCACCAACACAATGCCTAAGGAACACTTTCTGCTGTTAAATTTGTGATTGGAAAATGAAGGCCTGATTGGGCAACCCACTTTTCTTTAGCTGTGTATGTACTCATAAGGTACTTGGCGCACAGACTCTGAGAGGGAGGGTGGATGGAATGTTGCTGTAAATACAGATATTGGTAGAACAAGAAAGGCGAGGATATATGTCATCTGACCATTGAGTAAAACAGCTCATGGTCACTGTCGAGTACGAACTCATGGTGTCTGGCTGTCAATCCTAGTCCCAGAGGCTGTCCCCAGATTTACACCTCCTGTACTGCACTTCTATTACTGAGGGTCCTTCTTCCCAGGTCTCTCTGGGTGCTGACTTCATCGGGCCCACGCTGTGAGATGGTTTAAGGTCTCAGTGCTGGGCACTGGCTTGCTCTTTCCTCCTCTGCAGCTCCGCCCGTCGCCTGGACTGCTGTGCACTCATGCAATCCCTGAAAGCCTGCACTTGCGGCTGGCACTGGCGCCAGTCCTGGTGCTGGGCCATGCATTCTTGAACTGCAAAGTGGGAGGCAGCACAGCCAGAGCGGGTGATCAGCTGGTCCAGTGGGTCTTCTTCCTCGTCATCCTTCTTCACCTGTCTGGTCCAGTTATGGCCTTGTGGGACTGAGGTTGACATCTTGAGGAACCTAGAATATCAACAGAGAAGGTGAAAGTACATATGATTATATATTTCTTCCTGTTCATAAACAGTGACATCTACACTACACTGTATGGCCTGCTTATACGGCTGTCTCCCTTAGGAGACTAAGTTCTTTACTGTCAGATGCTAGGCCTGATTTAGCATAGATGCCCCCAGCATGAGGCCTGACAGAGAAAAGGCCTGCAAAATGGTTTGGTGAATTGAGATAAAAGTATCTAAGCTCAATGGAGTCTGCTATTGGAATGCAAGTTAAATGGAAATGCCACCTTTTTGGAGAAACCATTTCTGATCTACCTCAAAACACAACAAGCAAACGAAAATCCTCAAACAAAGAAACAGCCTTTCTTCTTCCCTTCAGAAGAGTAAAGTTGAACACTTGGAAGAGAATCCAAGTATAGGCAGGTTTGACACGTGGTGGGAACTGAGGTGCTCGGTACAGCTGTAGCACAAAGCACATGGTGGCTGAGGCAAAGGGTGAGTCTGTAGGGTATGAGGAATCACAAATTTCGTGACTGGGCTGAAAATGTAGTTTGGTAGTAGAGCAAATCTCCAACGTGGAAAAGTAAACTGAATTTGATCCTCAGCCTCACAAAACAAAACACTTCATTAACTGGAGAAACCAGGAGAGCAGGAAATGAAAACTGGTAAAAGTAAGTAAATGATTGATCGGCAAAGCTTTGCAGCCCGTGTGAGGAGTTAAGACTATTATCATGAGGACAAGGGGTAGGTCACACGAGGAGTTAAGCACTTTTCCATATAAACTTCACCTGTATGGAGGCACAATAAAAGGGGAAATGGTTTTGAAACAGACATTGACTGGAGACCTGCCTCATTAGGTGGGACCGGCAGCAAGTCCCACACGTAATAAAAACCACTTTAGGATTCGCTAGGTAGACTCAGTAAATAGTACTGCAGTCTATGTCCAACATATGTTGTCCTCGGTATTCCTTGAATGAGATGAGTCCGACCCATGCTTAGAGATAAGGGCAGGCTAGATGGCAGACAGCTTGGTCAGGCCTTCTAGTAAGGCATGACAAGAAGGGAAGCAGAGAAATACAGGCATCCAAGTCCCCTTGAAGCACCTCTCCCAGTTTTAGGAGCACTCCCGCGGTCCCCATGGTGCATCCGGTGTAGGGATGCATGCGCAGTGCTCACCCGCAGATGCAGAGGAGCGTGTGTTCCGCCCCAGACCCCGGGGTCCGCAGGCAGTAAGGACTCCCCTTCTTCTCTCCGCAGGAGGCGGACCTAGCGGGAGCGCACACACGGAAGGACTGAGCCCTCTGCAATTCTTATTGGTGGATTCTCCATGTAGAGCCCGCCCTCAGCACTACTCTTCCGGGAAAGGGCGGAAAAAGCGGACCAATAGAGACGGAATCATGGGGGAAGGCACCTTTGATAGCTCTGACTCTGTGCACACCCTCAGGTGACTCTAGGCCCGAGAGAGGACAGAGGAGGCGAGTAGCCATTATGCCTTTTCATCAGCGAGAGCTATGACTGGCCCGATGTCTGAAGTGGGTTACCGCATGGGTTGCCAAGTAAGCTGAAGGGCACAGGATCCAGAAAAGAAATTTCAAACCTGAATATACATTTTTCATTCCCAGTTAAAACAAAGAAACATGTATGCGTGGTGTGACCCATGTCATAACTCAGATCTACTTGCTAGCCCTAATTGCTGCCGTGAAAGGGAGAGGCATTTTCAATTTATTTTTTTAAGTTACATTTGTGTTTTTATGTGTGCCGTCGAGGTACAGGTGTGGAGAGCGGAGGACAGCAGGAATTGATTCTATCCTAACCATGTGGGTCCTGGTCTTGAACTCAGGTTGTTTGGTGGCTGGCAACTTATAAATAATCTTTCAGGTCCCAAGGGACTGATCTTCCTCCCTCTGCCTGCCTTCTCTTCCCCACTTTCATTGACAGTGCGTACCAACTTACTGGAGTTCCTTTTCTTTTCTTTCTTTTTTTCTTTTTTGGTTTTTCGAGACAGGCTTTCTCTGTATAGCCCTGGCTGTCCTGGAACTCACTCTGTAGACCAGGCTGGCCTCGAACTCAGAAATCTGCCTGCCTCTGCCTCCCAAGTGCTGGGATTAAAATAGGCGTGCGCCACCACTGCCTGGCTTGGAATTCCTTTTCTTAACATCTTTCTAGGCTTCAGAGTGAAAAATGAATTATTTCACCTAGCCATATCTAGACAACTCTTTTACCTCTGAATGTCATTCCGTGTTATTCCTGACTATTTAATTAAAAAAAAATCAAACCTTCCTAAATTCTATGAGAAGGGCTCATTTTATTGATTAGCTGTCATTTCACATACCATTGTTACGTTTTGTATCAAATTTGGTTTTGTTTTGGTTATTTTGTTTGTTTGTATTTTGGGGGATAGGGTCTCACTATGTAGTAGTGGCTACTATGTATAGTAGCTAGCCTTGGATTTATTATGTAGTTCAGGCTGGCCTCAAGCTTGTGGCTTTCCTGCCTTAGCTCTCTGAGTGCTGCAATGACAAATGTGTGCCACCATGCCCAACCTTGAAACTTAATTCTTTACTATGATAAGTGAAGATCATCAGACATATTTATGATAAATACATATAGATGATCAGACATATACACTCATATATATTTATATATGTATTTACCATATAAATGTATTTGTCATATATATAAATGTGTGTGTGTGTGTGTGTGTGTCTGGTGATCTTCACCTATCATCATAGAACATGAATTCTATTTCATAACCAGTAAACAAGCTAAAATTACTGTAGCAACTTTCTCTACAACTTTTATTTTTGAAACAGGGTTTTTTGTGTGTAGCCCTGGCTATCCTGGAACTTAATCTTCTATAGATTAGGCTGGCCTCAATCTCAGAGATCTTCCTGCTACTGTTTCCTGAGTGCTGGGATTAAAAGTGTATATGCCACCGTAGCCTGGCTTTGTGTTTTGATTTATAGTTAGTCTTTCATTGTATTCCCTCCTAAATGCAATTTGCTCTTCCCTATTTCCTCTGATTTCCAATATAGGTTGTTGGTGCGCTTGCGTGAATGTGTGTGTGTGTATTGTGTTGTTGTTGTTCCTATGGGTCAATTACATAAGTGTATCATCTGTGCAGATGCCTGAATTGGGTCTTCAAGAAGACAAATAAGAAATGAATTTATTTATTTATTCATTTATTATTTTTGAGACAGGGTCTTTCTATGTAGCCCTGCCAGGCATGAAATTTGTTAGATCAAGCTGGCCTTGAATTCACAAAGATCCACCTGCCTTTACCTCCAAAGTGCTGGGATCAAACTGTATACAACAGCGGGGCAGTGGTGGCGCACACAAACAAACAAACAAACAAACAAAAAAACCCTGTATACAACACCTTATTCAGCAAGTTTTTATTTTGAGACATTCTTTTTTTTTTTTTTGGTTTTGGTTTTGGTTTTTCGAGACAGGGTTTCTCTGTGTAGCCCTGGCTGTCCTGGAACTCACTCTGTAGACCAGGCTGGCCTCGAACTCAGAAATCCACCTGCCTCTGCCTCTCAAGTGCTGGGATTAAAGGTGTGCACCACCACCGCCCGGCTGAGACATTCTTTTTTGCTATACAAGGAAACCATCTTTGTCTGGCAGCCTGTTTGCCAAGAGATTGGTCTGGATAGAGTCCCAAAGCTTACAGCTTTAGAAGGATTTACTGTGAATAACATGAGCAAGGCAAGCTTTATGTTCTGTAGATGGCACAGCATTGAGAATGGTCCTACCCATAAAGCTGCCTCAGATAGCTACACTATCCTGATGCTCTCCATGTCATTTGTAGAATCCCCAAAGCTGTGCCTTCAATGCTAATGTACCTCCAAGCCTGTTTATAGGTGCTGGGGATCCAAGGCAGCGCCTCAGGTAAGCACTGCCACCTGATGTGCTCAGCACCACTCAATCTTGTTTGTTTAAATAGCAGGTAAGTTAAAAAGAAAGTTAAGAAGCAGGCAGTTGTCTGCTTCCCTGATCATGTCATCATCAGCCTCTCATCTGTTAACTGCTCTCTAGGGTTTGTCATCACCCAGCTAAGCTCTGCTGCAGGGGTACAGCCATCACCATCCTCATCAAGGACCGGGATGCTTCTCCAGTGGTCTGTGCCATTACCACCCGCATCTGCCTCATTAATCATGCCCCTGGCTCTGCTTCTGAGGGATTCTGCACAACAGACTTCACGGCAGAGCCCAGGTCCTTTGTTGTCTTAGTTCCATATCCTCCTTGTCATCTTTGAATTCTGCAGTCTGCTCTCCAGGTCAGTTGGTCAGCCATGCTATGAAGGCTACAGAATTCTGTGGTGCAAACACACAAACACTTGGCATGTGCTACTGGATTTAATTTCCTTCTTTCACCCCCCAGCTCCTCTTTTTTTTTTTTTTTTTTTTTTTTTTTTTGGTTTTTTCGAGACAGGGTTTCTCTGTGTAGCCCTGGCTGTCCTGGAACTCACTCTGTAGACCAGGCTAGCCTCAAACTCTTGAATTCAGAAACCCGCCTGCCTCTGCCTCCCAAGTGCTGGGATTAAAGGCGTGCGCCACCACCGCCCAGCCCCCCCCAGCTCCTCTTAAGCCTGTATTTATTTTTGCTTTATTTTGTACAGATACACACCAATATACCCAGTCTTATATTTACTTCTAAATGAAATTGAACTTCCACTTATTTATACTAGCTATTGGTGCAAGCTATGCCTGTGATTTTGAATTGTTTCACAGCCACATTAAATTAAAAGATGGGCCAGGGAGATGGCTCAGTGTGTAAAGACACTTGGCACCAAGTCTGATGACCCAAGGTCGGTGCTCAGGACCCATAGTGGTGAAAGAAATGAACCAATTTATGAAGATTGTTCTCTGACATCCACAGAGTTGTGACATGTGCGTGCATTCAAGAACACACTCAATTTTATTTTTACTTTTTGGTTTTTCAAGACCATTTCTCTGTGTAGCCCTGCCTGTGATGGAACTCGATGGCCGGTTTTGAAGCAGGCTGGCCTCATACTCAAGAGATCTGCCTCCTGAGTGTTGGAATTAAAGACATGTGCCACCACCCCCAGCTTCATTGCTAAGTTTGCCATGGATGGGTTCAGTGTTTACAGTTGAATGTTCCATTTCCTGCCTGCCAGAGCCACTTTGCTGTTTGACATCTCTCTGTGGTCTGGTAAACTGTAGACCCGTCCTTATGCAGAAGTGTCTAATCCTAGGAAATAAACTGAAGCTCGACTCTGACTTTTCTCTCCATGCTTGTACTCACACTGCCCTTCTTGGTTGTACTCACACTGCCCTTCTTGGTTGTACTCACACTGCCCTTCTTGGTTGTACTCACACTGCCCTTCTTGGTAGTCTTCTGTCTTGCTGGCTTCTGCAGCTTTTCTTTAACCTTCCACAGCAGCACAAGTGACATCAGAATGCAGCTCAGCATCTGTCTCCCTCCATAGTTTGCTTATGAATTAAAGACTGATTTTCCAGTCTGGGGAGCCAGCAACAAGCACCCCTTCTAGAAATCTGTCACATAATTAGCCCTAGAGCTCTTCTAAAGGCCCAGACACCAAGCACCGGGTGGGCACTCCCCAATCCCTGCGGGCACACTAATCCAGCCAGATTTACCAGATCCAGGTCAGCCAACCTGCAGCCAGCAATGTCACATGATGCAAGGCAAAACCTTGTTTAACAAGGGTTACTGACAGCCAGATAAGGGTTTGCTGGCTAAGAACATGCTATTTGAGGGTTTGTTTAAGATTTTTTTTTTATGTATGTGAGTATACTGTCACTGTCTTCACGCACACCAGAAAAGGGAATGGGATTACAGATGGTTGTGAGCCATCATGTGGTTGCTGGGAATCGAACTCAGGACCTCTGGAAGAACAGTCAGTGCTCTTAACCTCTGAGCCATCTCTCTAGCCCTGTTTGAATATTTTTTAAAGACAGTTTTTTAATTTTTATTTATTTTATTTTTATCTGGATATGTCTGTATTCCACAAGTATGCCTAGTGCCTGCAGAGTCTAGAAGAGGGGGCTGGATCCCCTGGGTCTGGACTTAGAGTTGTCAGCTGTCTTGTCGTGTTGGGAATTGAATCCATGTTCCTCTGGAAGAACAGCTAGTGCTCTTAATCACTAAGTCATCTCTCCAGCCCCTGAAGAGATATTTTAATTGACTTTTAAAAAGATGACTTGTCATAAAACTCTATTGATTTTCAGGGACAGGAATATTGTGACTTTGAAACATTTTTTCCTAATGAAATGTGAGAGCCTGTCTGTTAGATATAAAGACATTCCAGAAAATCTTGATTATTGAAGACATTGTCATTGTCCTTCAGAATTCCCAGAAATCTTGAGGTACAACTACAGAAGGGATAGCAAGTGAAGGGCCCTTGAGTTCGTGTAACTCCCTAACAGCTCACAGAAGCACAGCTCAGTGGCAGTCTGTAGTTAGTCTGTCATTGGAGTTGATATTAGTATTGTATGGGTTAAAATAAGAGATGTTGTGTTGAACGAAACCCTGGAGAAGGGTTTTATGGCCTTATGTTAATATTTTAAAAAACATTTTATTACGTTTACTTGTCTGGGTTTGAGTGGGCGTACTTGTAGAGGTCAGAGGACCTTCAACTGTGGTGCCATCTTGCTAGCCCCAGGTGTGTGTGTGTATGTGTGTGTGTATGTGTGTATGTGTGTGTATGTGTGTGTGTATGTGTGTATGTGTGTGTATGTATGTGTATGTATGAGTGTGTGTATGTGTGTGTATGTGTTTGTGCATGTGCATCCCCTATTATTTCTTTTTACCTTTTTTTTTTTGAGGCAAAGTCTCCCACCCAGGCTAGACTTGAACTCATTCTGTTGTTGAGGTTGGCTTTAAACTCATGCTCTTTCTTCCTCTGCTTCCTAAGTGCAGGATTAGGAATGTGAGGAACCACATCCAGTTGGAGCAAGTTTGTTTTTAGCCCTGTGTTTAGGCAGTAGGCCTGAGTTGGGTGCTGAGTTTTCTCATATTTCTTTCTGCCCTTGCCTGTTACTTTCAGAACTCACTGAGAGTATTAATATCTTATTTTCTTCAAGAAATTAATGTTCCTGTCTTCCGGCTGTATCCTGTTGTTGGTCTGTCTTCTATGGGGACAGCTCACTCCATAATTAAAAAGATAATAGCATCTCATTGATAAGAAACTGTATTGCACCCCTCTCCACACAGAGGGGAGGGATGGCTTTGTGGGCTGGGTAGGGAGGATTAGAAATGTATGAGAGCAGGACTTCCTGTAGCTTGATGTTTTCATTAAGACACTGTACTTGCATCAGACTTGCCTCCTGTGCTTTCTGCTCTTCTTCTCTGTGTAGACAAGTGGTCATATTTCATGTCCAAGGGAAATGCAGCTTCAGAGTTTTTGGCACCATGTGCTTTTCCCAGGATCCATACACAGAGTTTAAGCTATTTTGTTGTTGTTGTTTTTGTTTTTCGAGACAGGGTTTCTCTGTGTAGCTCTGGCTGTCCTGGAACTCACTCTGTAGACCAGGCTGGCCTTGAACTCAGAAATCCGCCTGCCTCTGCCTCCCAAGTGCTGGGATTATAGGCATGTGCCACCACTGCCTGGCTGAGTTTAAGCTACTTTAATAAAGGAAAAGTATAACACCCTGTTCATCTTTCCTCCTTTCCTGCTTGTCTAGTGCTATAAACACATAATCAATGTGTGTTTTCATTGTAGGGTGACACAGCTAACCAGTGTGTGGTGTTTGGTAGTGAGGTACTCAAGTCCAGAGAGTGTCTGGGCAAATTCCTCACCACGAATCTTGAGGATATTATGAAGTTTCCTTAACTATGGGGATTTTTTGAAGATTTATTGTTTTATTCTATGTCTGAGTGTTTTGCTTTCTGAGTGTATTTGTTTGTACCATGTCTGGATCTCACAAAGGTGAGAAGAGAACATCATTCTAGGCTTATGTTACATTGCATACTTTGTTTTTTCAATATTATTGTACTTTATATGACTTTGTTGTATTTTCCCAATATTGCATTCTCACACATACAGGTGTTTTCAAGTCAGCATTTTGTGTTCATGATTATGGCAGTTAAACCTATCTCTAGGCATATACACACATACATATAAACATACCTGCATATACTATGGTTTCCAGAGACTTTGTAATATTTTTGTATGTGAATAGTATGTAATTTTAATTTTAGTAATTTTATGGTACATCTAGGAGAGCTATCTTTCGTGTGGATTATTAAGAATCTGGAGAGGAGCCAGTGAGATGTACTAACGGTGCCTTGTGCCAAGCCTGATGCTCCAAGTTTGATTCTCAGAATCACGTGCTAGAGGAGAGAACTGACTTCCAAAAACTGTCCTTGAACTTCTACTCATGTGTCTCAGTGTGTGAATGTCCACATACATACAAGATAAATAAATAAATGTAAAAGAAAAGAAACTTGCAAAATAGCTGGGTGTGGTGTTGCATAATTTTAATCTTAGCACTTGAGAGGCAGAGGCAGGTGGACCTCTAGAAGTTCAAGTCCAACCTGGGTTACATAGAGAGACCATGTCTCAAAAAGCCAAAAGGCAAAAGAAAGAAAAGAAGAAAAAGAATTTAGAAAAGTAGCAAAAAAGATAAAAAATCACTAAAGACAGAAACTATGGAAATATGAAAATCTGTGTCCAAGCTACAGATGTTGTAGAAGTAGGAAGCTGTAGAGGATTATGGGAGGACCCTTTTTTAAAATTTATTTTTATTTTGTGTTTTGCCTGTGTGCATGTCTGAGCACCGGGTACTGCCTGGTGCCTTCCTGCCTTTCTGGAGGTCAGAAGGAGGAGTTGGATCCCCTAGAACTGGAGTTACAGATGATTGTGAACCACCATATGGGTTCTGGGAACTGAACCCAAGTCCTCTGAAAGAGCAATGAATGCTCTTAACCACTGAGCCATCTCCCCACCCCCTGGGAGTTTCCTTTTGTTTGGAGAAGTAACAGGCATTGACCCCAGCCTTGGGAGGATGATGGTGGAAATCCATGTGCATCTCACACGTGGGTCTTCTGTGCTTGGGAGCACACAGGCTTAGAGAAATTTTGGAGGAGTGTGAATCAAGAAGGCTTATAACATATTTCAAGGGTATAAGATATTTTATCATCTGTAATACTGGCTGTGTTGGCTTTTGAACAGCTAACATGCTCGGACATTTCCGGAGTTGGAGGCCATGGTGTTTCTTCTAGTTCTGATGTCAGTGCACAGATCTGGCAGGCTTCTGATAGGGAAGAGCAAGGGATTTAGATACGTTTAAATTTTTATTTGTTTTCATTTTGTTTGTGTGTGTGTCTGTTTGTTTATCCAAATATCATGAGCATGTTGTGCCTTCAGAGGCCAGAAGAGGGTACGGGTCCCCTGAAATTGAAGTTACAGGCAGCTGTGAGCTGACATGAAGGTGCTGGGAAATGACCCCAGATCCTCTGGAAGAACAGCAAGTTCTCTTAACCAATGAGCCATCTCTCCATCCCTGCCTGGTTTAGATGCCTTTAAAAACATGCCTATGAAGGTTGGTCTGAGAAGCCTTAGGCTGGAAGGAAGAAAACGTCCTGTAAAAACACAGGGCCACCAGTCTGTGATAGGTTTGTTTATCATTGGGCACTCAGAGGTCTGTTCTCAAATTTAGTGACTTGCCAGACACAGTGGGCTATAGCAACTGATCCTGGCCAGCTGTTAGATTTAGGGGAGAGTAAATAAGTCCCTAAGACCCTCAGCTTCTTATACTTAGATCTAGGCTGAGAGCCAAGGAATTCAATTCTACACTTTAACTCTGCCAGGAAAGGAAACCAACAGCCCTTAGAGTGCTGGCCGGGAGGCAAGTGAGCTAAAGAGATTCTTTACACAGCCCTTCCTAAGAGCCAGCATGTAGGCAACGCACGGAAACATCTCATATAAGGGACCAAGCAATGGGAGGTGAGGAGTGTGTGTTTGATGTGAATTGTGGCGGGTTCTCTCCATCAGGCCCGTGCTTCTGAATGGGGGATGGATGCTCGGCTGATGATCTGGTTCGCTGAAGATGGGAGCCATGTGTGACCTTCAAAGGTTACAAGGGAGCTATGAAAAGGCTTCTCCAATGATTTCCAAGGGCAAATCACTGTAAAGATAGAAGCAGAAATTAGTTATTCACAAATGCATAAATAATTCACTCAGCCAGCCATTTGGATGAGCTGCTACGTCCCCAAGGACTAGAAAGTCTGTGTGTCAGGACTGCTGGTTTACTTTTTAGAAAATGCCTCATGTAGCCCAGGCTGGCCCCAAAGAAGCTATGTAGCTGAAGATGACTTTGACTTCTGATCCTCCAGCCTCCGCCTCCTGAGTGATAGACTGTATTACATGCCACTATGCCTGGCCTTATGCAGTGCTGGAGACTAAACCCAGGCAGGGCTTGGTGCCTGCTAGGCAAGCATTTTACCAACTGAACTACTGTTTTAGTGTTTCATTACTGTGAAGAGACCATGACCAAGGCAACTCTTATAAGGACAACATTTAATTGGGGCTGGCTCACAGATATAGAGGTTTAGTCTATCTTCATCATGTCAGGAAGCATGGCAGCATCCAGGCAGACATGGTGCTGGAGAAGGAGCTGGGAGTCCTACATCTTGATCCAAAGGCAGCCAGAGAGACTTTTCTCTGCAGGCAGCTAGGAAGGGCCTCTCTTCTGCACTGGGCGGAGCTTGAGCACTAGACCTCAAACCCCACCTATGCAGTGACACACTTCCTCCAACAAGGTCACGCCTCCAAATATTGACACTTCTCCTGGGTCAAGCATATTCAAACCACCACAGCTACATTGCTAGCCCTGCTGGTCAGTCATGTTAGTGATATCTAATTCTGTCTTACATAGATTTTTTAAAGTTTATTATTTTACATATATGGTTGTTTTGCCTGCATGTATGTCTGGGCACCACATGTGTGTCTGATGTCTCAGAGACCAGATGAAAACATGGTTGTAAACCTCCATGTGGGTGCTAGGAATTGAACATGGACAAGTCTTCTGGAACTGCAGCCAGTGCTCTCAGTTGCTGAACCTTCTCTCCAGTCCCTACAAAAATACTTTACAAATTATTATGGGCAAATTCTTCTCCATAGCTCATCAACTTGTGTGCTTTGGAAAAGACAGGAAGGGAATCCACATTTTCTATTATTAGTACCAGAGATGACATAAAAGATAAAGCTGTTTGTTTGTTTGTTTGTTTGACAGGATCTCAAGTAGCCTGGACTGGCCTTAAGCTCACTATATAAACAAAGATAACCCTGAATTTGTAGCTAGGAGTAGTAGCACATATTTGTGATCCCAGCAAGTATAGAGGAGAAGCAGGGGCGTTGGAGGATTGGGAGTTTAAGGTCATTTGCAGTTACATAGTGAGTTTGAGGCCAGTCTGGACTATCTGAGACACTATCTCAAAACACAGAAAAAAATTCTCAGACTCAAGCTCGGCATGGTGGTGTACAGCTGTGCTCCCAACACTCTGGAAGCAGAAGCAAGAAGATCAGAAGTTCAAGACCTCTTCAGCTACAGGGTGAATTTGCGGTCAGCTTGGATGTAGGATTCCATCTGAAAAACCCGTCCCCAACACCTCCCTAGATTAATGAAGGTTAACAGTAGGGCTCTATTTTTTAAATTGCCTTTTTAAAGATTTATTTATTTTATTTATATGAGCACACTGTTGCTGTCTTTAGACACACAAGAAGAGGGCATCAGATCCCATTACAGATGGTTGTGAGCCTCCACGTGGTTGCTGGGAATTGAACTCAGGATCTCTGGAAGAGCAGTCAGTGCTCTCTTAACCATCTCTCCAACCCCTTAAGATTTATTTTATTTCTCTGTGTGTATGTGTACATGCATGCCATGTGTGTGGGTGCCTATAGAGACCAGAAGAGGGCACTGGGTCCTCTGGAGCTGAAATTACAGGCATCTGTGAGTTGCTCAACATGGCCTTTGGTAAAATAGCAACTGTTCTTAACCAATGAACCATCTCTGTAGTCCTCAGTTCCTAGTTATTGAAATGAAAGAATACTAGGCTTCCTTTGAGCTGTGAATTCTTGTTCCAGGTTGCCCTAGGGGAGATTTTCACATGCTGTTGACAGTCTGGTGTGGCATTACCACTTCCAAACCCCTGATCCCTTAGAAAGAAGTGATAGTAAAGGGGACTGCCCCTGAGCAGTGGTGAGGAGACACTCCAGTCAGTGGTCATTCTAACACATTCATTGAGGCAGGTCCTCACAGAGCCAGCACTTAATCCCTGAGCCATCTCTAGCCCTCCAGCGTCTGTGTTTTATTTATATATTTAGTTAGGTTTTGAGACAGGCTCTCTCTGAATAGTCGTGACTGCCCTGGATCTTCCTCTGTAGACCAGGCCACCCTGGAACCCACAGAGAACCACTTGCCTCTGCCTCCCACGTACTGGAGTCCGTGCTAGGATTAAAGGCATGCACCACCATTGCCTGGCTCCATGTTCTCTTTTTAAAACAAAATGCCAAGCAATTTGTATGCCTTTTGAACTGTATAAATACTAACTTATCAGTACAAAAGCAAAATGAATTCACATTTGACCATCCTGGAATTTGTTTTAACAAACAAACAAACAAACAAACAAGCACTACTCGGTGCAAAGTACTACTAGGTGTAACTCTGAAATCTTACTGCCAACTTTAAGGTATCAACCTAGAGATGTCATCAAATTAAAAACAAAACAGGAAACAAGATGAGGGTGACATTGGCCTGATCTATGCAGCAAGTGATTGTGAGTTCCTACTCAAGGTCTCAGTCTCCCACCCACATGGCCATCACACCATAGGTACATGTGCGCGTGCACACACTCCTTTAAAAAATTATTTATATGTGTCTTTAAAATATGTGTGTGGCACGTGCAGATGCCCATGGACGCCAGGGCCATAGGATTCCCCTGAAGCTGGTGTTACAGGCAAGTGTGAGCTGGATAACTGTGGGTAATGGGAATCAAACTCAGGTCCTCTGCAAGAACAGCGACTGCTCTTCACTACTGGGTCGGCTCTCTGGACCCACACCACTCTACTTTCCATGGTCTCCAGAGTTAAAGTCCTGGTTGTGACTGCTCCCTGATTCTCTGTTGTCTTGTCCGTCTTGTCTGCTATGCAGCAAAGCAGCTCAGTTTTCAGTTTTCTGCACTCGTTTCCCGGCTCTCCAGTGTCCCCTTGTGGCTTCCAGTGAGAAGTGCCTGGCTCTCTCACTGCGTGCCAAAGTCCCCACCACGGACAAAGGCTTCTTTGGGGAGC